ATGTTTAAAATCCTCAGGCCTGGTTCAGTTTGTTTTTTTGTCAAACATTCTTCTAAGTGTTATAGCACTGGCCTGTGCATTGCTGACAGAGGTAACTCGTGCTTGCTGTGATGCTAACCACTGTGACACTGATGTGACAAATGTGATAAAGATTACCCATGGTGGACAGTGTTTGCTGGAGCTTCCTGACTAAAGCAAGCTTGGAAGCAGGAGTGGCATCCACTTCCGAAATGGTTTGCCTCTGGAAACTCTATAAACAGTGCTCAGGTCACGATGAGTCATGTACAACTCGATGGCACCTAACAACAACAATCTTGCTTGGCAATCTTCCTGTTGTTGGTTGCCTCCCATGAATGTGGAAGGTCATAGGAAATAGGAAGAGTCAAGCTTGTTAAATTCAGTATTGTGCTTGACCTTTTAATAACAAATTAAAAACATCTTATTTTTAAACAAATATTCTATGGTATTTCCTGGTAATCTTGGTTTTGGCTGCCTCCAGTGCGTGTAGGGTTCCACAGGGGTGGGGTCGTAATGAGGTGACGTTTGAGGAAAAGTTAAGAGCAATAGCTAAGGTATATATCTCCCATATACTGCAGAGCTGTTTGTTTGGAGTGGGTGCAGCCCACCCTAACTCAGGCCCTGCACTGTGAATGATCAGGCAGGGGTGACTCAGTAGGTGGTTGTCCTAGGAAGACCACTTTCAGAAGTCAGGTGGGTACAGTGAGTCCAGGATCTGTTGCTGTAGGTATACAGGATTGACAGTGTGAATAATGTAGGTATACAGATTGACAGTGTAAATAATGAACTTCTTCTGGACTTTCACTTTTTCTGGAGCCACTACTAGACTTTCCCTTTTTTTCTTGAGGTAGAAAACAGGGGTGGTATTCACTTCCTAAATAACATACCTCCAAAAACTCTGTGAACTTTGATAACTGTGGTAGTTGTAGAGGAGCTTCAGGCCTTTTGTTCAAAGGGTTGCTGTAAGTCATGCTTGACTTGAAGGATATCAACAACAGCAGCAGCAGCATAGTGTATTGAAGTAATTGAGAGTAAATGGGAAATTATGGTATTAAATGCCAGAAGTATTGTTAGGGCTCTTTTATAGATGCTGTTGTTGTTGTTATGTGCCGTCGAGTCGCTTGCGACTCATAGCGACCCTATGTACAACAGCCCTAAACTCTGCTCTGTCCTGTGCCAATCGCACTGTCTCTGACACTCCCATCCCGATAACCCCATTCACTGAATCAGTCCACCTCATAGAAGGCCTTCCCCTCCTGTGCTGTCCCTCCACCTTCCTGAGCATGATGTCCCTCTCCAAGGACCGGTCTCTCCTTACAACATGTCTGAAGTATGTTAGACGGAGCCTCAGAATCCTTGCCTCCAAGGAGCCACCTGGTTTAACCCTTTCCAGGATGAATCTGTTTGTTTTCCAAGCAGTCCATGGTACTCTCAATACTCTTCCCCAGCACCACAGCTCAAAGGCATCAATTCTCTTTCTATCCTCCTTGGACATTGTCCAGCTCTCTGACACATAACAAGTGATTGCAAAGACCACGGCCTGTATCAGACACACCTTAGTCTCCACAGAGACACCATTGCTCTTCAGTACTTTGGAGAGGTCCATAACAGCAGACTTTCCCATGGCAATGCGCCTTTTAATTGCCTGGCTACTGGTGCCAAGAGTATTGACTGTGGAGCCAAGCACACTAAAGCTGTGAACAATCCCAATGTCTTTGCCATCCATCCTGAGGCTGCCAATTGGTCCAGTGGTGAGAATCTTTGTCTTCTTGACATTGAGCCTCAATCCATATTGGAGGCTGCAGTCCTTCACCCTCTGCAGCAAGCACTTCAGGTCCTCCTCACTCTCCGCAAGCAGGGTTTTGTCATCTGTATAACGCAGATTGTTGATAGATCTTTCACCAGTCTTGACCCCACATTTCTCCTCATAGAGCCCAGCCTCCCAGATAATCTGTTCTCCATACAAGTTGAAAAGGTATGGAGATAGGACGTATCCCTAGCATACACCCTTCCCAATTTTGAACCATGTAGTGATCCCTTGCTCTGTTCTGACGACTGCCTCCTAGTCCAAGTATAGGTTTCTCATTAGAATGATCAAGTGTTCTGAGATTCCCATTCTTCTCAGAGTCAGCCACAGTTTGTTATGATCCACACAGTCAAACGCCTTTGCATAGTCAATGAAACACAGATATACATTCCTCTGGTATTCCCTGCTTTCAGCTAAGATCCATCTAACATTAGCTACAATATCCCTAGTACCATGACCCCTTCTAAACCCAGCCTGGACTTCTGGCAGTTCTCTGCTGATGTGCTGTTCCAGTTGTTTTTGGATAATCTTCAGCAGAATCTTGCTTGCATGTGAAATCAATGAGATTGTTCTATAGTTTCCACACTCTGTTGGGTCACCTTTCTTTGGGATGGGAACAAATATAGATCTCTTCCAGTCAGTTGGGCAAGTGGTTGTTCTCCATATTTCTTGACACAACTTGGGGAGCACATCCAGGGCAGCATCTGTTAGCTAAAATATGTCAATTGGTGTACCATCTATTCCTGGAGTCTTATTTTTTGCCATTTCCTTCAAAGCAGCCTGAATTTCTTCTTTCATCACCATAGGCTCTTGCTCATGTGTTGTTTCACGAAATTCTTCTGTGTCGGCCAATTTCTTTTGATACAGTGACTCAGTATATTCTTTCTATCTTCTTTTAATACTTCTGTATCATTTAATATTCTGCTGAAAGCATCCTTGATTATAGCAACTCGAGGTTTGAATTTGTTCTTCAGCTCCTTGAGCTTAAGAAATGCTGAACAAGTTCGGCCCTTTTGATTTTCCGACTCTAGCTCCTTGCACATTTCATTGTAATATTTTGCTTTGTCATCCTGGGCTGCCTTTTGGAATCTTCTGTTTAGCTCTTTAGTATCTTGAATTCTTCCTTGTGCTTTGACTTCTCTGCGCTCTAGTGCAATCTTCAGAGTTTCTTCAGACATCCATTTTGGTCTTTTTTTTCTTTTCTGTCTTTGTAATTACCGTTTGTACTCTTCTTGGATGATACCCTTGATAGCCTCCCACAACTCATCTGGTCTTTTCTCATTAGTGTTTGGTTTAATTTTTTAAGTAACTATTATGTATTTATTATTGTTTTCTTCTTTCCTGTATGTGGAAGCAGAAACATAAGTTTAGCCAAGGTCATAAACTTACAACTGGAAAGTTAGGCTATGAAAAACATTTCTCTAATCCTAAAGCCTAGACTTTCACCAAAGTGCAAGTTGTTTGAGCTTTGTCCATGTAGGTGCATTCTTTTGTTTGTTTGTTGTATACCATTGAATCAGAACCATAGCTGACCCTCCATCCAGCAGGTTTTCAGAAGCAGTTCATTGCATTGAAGAAGATTGCCCATCCTCCTCCCGCAGAGTGAATGCTGATGAATTCAAACTACATGCCTTTGGGATTGCAGCACAGATTCTTACCGCTAGAGCACTAGAGCTGTGTTTCTTGCAGATTACAGTGTATCTGCTGTAGGAATACTATAATCAGAGTAACAATTTTTTACAGGGAGCTCTGTTGTCGTAGTGGGTAAGAAGTTCCACTACTAACCCAAAATTTCGAATCCACCAGCTGCTTCACGGAAGGAAATTGGGCACTCTTCTCGTTGTGGTTCATGAGTGGTGCCGACTCAGTGGCAGTGAGGTGTTTGTGCCAAGAAAGAATAATATGATGTTACCCAAATGATGAGGGGGCTCTGCTGGTCTAGTTGTAAGGAGTTGTGTTGCCAAAGTAAAGATACACAGTTTGAATCCACCAGCTGCTCTGCTGGAGAAAGAAAAGCAGTCTTCTCCTGTGGGATTTACTGCCTCTGAAACCCCAGTGGAGAGTCAGCTACGGGTCCATTTCAACTCCACAGTTCCTGTCAACAGCCCAAATGAGGAGTCCACAGAGGCCTGTGAATTATTTCTTGAAACATTATGATATCTGATGAGAATTTGCTTATGAATTGGGTGTGTATTTCTTTATTTAAATGAATGACTACCTTGACATTCCAAATACGAGCAATTCTATGGTCCTTTGCCCTGGCCTGCTGATGTGAATATTATATCAGGGCCCTCTAGGTCTGAGTACGCCTGTCACTGACTGAGTTTCAGAGAGTCCCTTAGTGGCTACCAATTCAGGCTTAAGTCGTACAGGTCATACTTGAACCCCAGGGATTGCATTTACTAGCTCCTTACCTAACTACTTCATATAGAAAATGGGGGAAAGAGTATCTACTGTGCAAGTGGAAAACAGAAATATTTAAAATTCTCTTCTTAATGAAGTATACAGCACTGTTTGCTCTACAGCCTAAAGAAATGTTCAGGAGCTAGGAGAAAAATCAAAGATAATTCCTGAAACTAGGACCTTCCTGGCAGCTGTGCCTTCCTTAGCCCACAGATCACTAGTAAAGGAAGCATGCTGCTTCCTCTAACACGTGAAAGCTTCTTAAAGTCTTACAGCCACATAGTGCTTGGTCTGTTTTTTTTCTCTGTCTACCATCAGTCATGACAGTTCTAAACAGAGTATCATCAGCAATTGCTGTGTTGAGCACAAAATATATTTCCTTTGATATAGTGTTAACAATCCTAGTATAATGCCATTTCTAGAACTTAAGAGTGCCCAAATACTTCCAGATGAAGAACTTTTGTGTTTTCAATGGGGAAAAAATTTTAGAGTTAATTTATAATAACTCCATCTCAATCCAAGAAGAATTTAAAGGGGTTTAAAGAATGTGTGTGAGTGTGTGTGTGTGTGTGTGTGTGTGTGTGTGTGTGTGTGTGTAAATATGTGCATTGTATATATACCATAAAGTAAGATTTCAAGACCAAACATAAGTAAAAGATTTTGTTGTATGTGTACATTAATATTTAACCAGATATTTTTACTTTGCAAAATAAAAATAAAATTAACCTCTTAAGAATTTAAAATGATCTGAAATACCGCATTTTTTTAACAGATTTTATCTTCATTTACGGACAAAGAACTCTTGGCATATGCAAAAGCTGGAGCAGTAGCTGAAGAGGTTTTAGCAGCAATTAGAACTGTGATTGCATTTGGAGGACAAAAGAAAGAACTGGAAAGGTTTGAGTCTCTTTTTAAGTTGATAGAAGTGTGAAATGCTGTGTTACGTTTTCATAGAAGTTACACAAGGTGAAAGTGTTGATTATAAGGTTATTCTACAATATGTATTTTTCCTTAAGTAGCTTAAGGGATATATATATCTATATATATCTATATATATATCTATATATATATATAGATATATATAGATATAGATATATAGATATATAGATATAGATAGATAGATAGATAGATAGATAGATAGATAGATAGATAGATAGATAGATATATTTAACACTCTACCACTAAGCACTTCTTGCTGTTTGCTTGATTCCAACTCTTGGACGTCTGATATTCTAGACAGGAAATTCTAGCTGTACTTTTCTTTACTTGGGTTTCCTAGATGGATAGTAAGGTAAAAATAGTTTCCTAAAGCAGAAGCATGCATTACATTTTTGTTTTATTTTCTTGTCAAGGTTTAATTCTTGACTCTCTAATGCTACATGGGTACTTTGTGCAAGATTGATACAGACATTTTAGACTATGTTCAGCTTTATTTTAATCTGTGTTCATCTTTCCTTCTTACTTAAGCTACCAATCAATTGGGACACGCTCCGTTCTTTGGTAAATCAGCCTATCACACATTGGCACAAAGTCTAACATGTGTATGTCTGTGTGTGTGATTTGAGTGAAAGTTGACTAAGTCGTTTGACTTTCTGTGCAACTATTCACACATATTTTAAAAATAATTTTTTATTGTCTATTTCATGGTATTTTTGTTCACCTCTTCCCTTTAATTACAAGACTTAGGAGATTTTTGGTAATTATTTGGAAGTTCACAATACTCATCAGATCCACTGAGTTCAAAGCAACATTAGATATTGTGATAAATATTCTAAAAATTGTATTTTAATGCAATGAATATATACCTACCCACTGTCATTGAGTAGATTCTGACTCATCACCCCTCCATCAGGTTTCTGAGACTCTTAGTCTTTATGGAAGGGGAGATTGCCTCTCTTTCTCCCATAGAATGGCTGGTGGATTAAAATCGCTGACCATTCAGTTTAGCAGTGCAATTTAAGCACTATGCAGTGGGGTCTATCTATTCTAACTATTTAGTGTGTCTGTCTCTGCATGTATCTATGGGTATGTGTGTGTATATAGCTCTTAGGCCTTGTTGGTAAGGAGTTGCACTGCCAATCCAAAGGCAGGTAGTTTGAATCCTTCAGCTGCTCCATGGGAGAAATATGGGCAATCTCTTCCCATGTAATTTACAGCCTCTAAAAACTTACTGCAGGGTCAGCTATGAGTTGGTTCCAACTTGACAACACATAACAGAAACAACATATGTGTTTGTGTGTAATGGAAAAACAACTAACCTGTATTTCTTGGAGGTGTATCCATTGGGTGGTAAAAGTACAAAGGAAAAGAAATTTTTGTGATATGTAAACAAAAAATTGGAGAAAAGAATTATGTGGGAAGAATAAGATATATGACAGAAAGCATTTATGGTTCTGGATGTTTCTCGATTTCAATTTTATTCACATAGGTTATTCTTTAAACTTTACAAATGAGTTTTGGATACCCTTTCATTCATATGCTATATTTCATACCCATAAATATGTCTTCTAAGAAACAAACATCTGTTATATTTGAGTACCTAGATACAAAGGAAATTAGTACCTACATCTTCCATAGATTATTCCAAGGTTTCTTCTTTTGTCTTAAAATATGTACAGTTAATAAAATGAAAAATTGTTCAGTGAAAAAGCAGACAATTGATTAAAAGCCTCTACTGTCATAGAGATTAAGTTCTAGTAAGAAGGGGGTAGGGTACAGTCACAAATACATATCTAATACACTAGGTGGAGTAGTACTATATGGAGCAAAAAAAATATTCTGGTAAAATGCAGTCAGCAAAGTGGAAAGCTTCAGACTAAAGCCTGAAGGTTTTTTTGCAGCTGGCTCACTACCCCTTGGTCGACTAGCTACTCCAGCGCAGAAATACAGATAAGCAGTGTCCTTCTATATGATTTACAGTCATGGGAACCAGCTGGAGGGTCAGTTATGAGTCAGAACCAATTCAGTGGTAGTGAGAAAGAATGATGGGCGGTGGAAGGAGTCCCGTGGAAGGAGTCCTGTGGGTCGGTGGTTAAAGCTCTTGACTGATAACCAGAATTTTCAGTAGCTCAGACCTCCTAGGCTTGAGCCCACCAGCTGCTCAGCAAGAGAAAGATGTGGCGATCTGCACGGAATCACACCTTTGGGAACTCTCTGGCACTGTCAGAATTAATGCAGCAGTAGTGAGTGTGGGCCCAAGAACTACTTCTTACAAAAGATGAGAATTTCACATTTAAGATGAGTTTTAAACCAGTGATAATAGTAGACATCTGGTGGTGGTGGTGGTTGTTACATACCATCGAGTCAGACCTGCCTTTTAGCTGACTGTCCAACAAGTTTTCAAAGATAATGTGATTGTGTGGAAGGAGATCAGCCATCTCTTTCCCATAGAGCAGCTGGTGGATTTGAACGGCATGCTTTCAGGTTGGCAGCATAGCTCCATACCATTAGGCCACCAGAGCTCCCTAGGCATCTGGTAGATTAGGTGAAAAAAAAAAAATCAATGAAAATTAGTGAGTAAGGGATCTAAATTAAGAAGTTATAAGGCATGATATCAGTCTAGAGACTAAGATGTGCCTTTATCCAGACCATTGTCTTCCCAGTTACTTGCTATGTGTCCAAGAGCTGGAAAATGATTGAGGAGGATAGAAAAATTTATGCCTTTGAGTTGTGGTGCTGGAGAAGAGTTTTGAACATACCATGGACTGCCAAGAAAATAGTCTGTCATAGAGAGGGTGAAACCAAGGTTCTCCTTGGAGGCTAGGATTTTGAAGCTCCATCTCACATACTTTGGGCATGTGGCCAGGAGAGACCTCTCCTTGGAGAAGGACATCATGTTTGGCAGCGTGGAGGGACAGTGCAGGAGAGAAAGACCCCAGATTACATGGCTTGATACAGAAGCTGGGGAAATGAGGGTAGGTGTATTAGAGTCAGTGAGACTGGCTCAGGACAGGGCACGCTTCAGAGCTATTATACATAGAGCCCCTGTGAGTTTCAGGCAACTTGCCAGCATATAACAACAACAACAAGGACAATAACAGTAAAGTATAAAAAGGAAGTAATAAAGAACAAAAATTAATTAGTGAGTAAACAAGGATTTAAAATGTTGAGGGTCAAATGATTTACAAATGATTTTGTAAATTACTACCTTACTTGGGAGGGACTGGAGAGCATTATGCTGAGCGAATTAACTAGGTCCCACAAGGATAAATATTGTATAAAATCATTATTGTAGAGTGAATATAAGGATCCAAGAGAGGTGGGAGCGGTTGGAAGCAGATGGATGAGGATATGCAGAAGGGGGGACTAACCATGGGGTTGTACAATGAGATAGGTGGGTGGGTGAGGGAAATGGAAAGAATTTGTTTTTAAAAACAATTCTTGAATTTTGTAAACAAACTAGTAGAAAATGAAAAAAAAAGTGTCGACAATCGACAAATCTGTGGTTCTTTAAAAAATGTATTAAAGAACCAAGTGTCTAAAAGTGTAATCAAGCATTAAAAATAATAAGGTAAAATTGCTATAGATAATAAATCTATTTAAAAATTACAGGCCTGTGTCAATTTTAAATCATAATGATACACAGTATCCTAGGAAACAGTAAGTTAAAACATGTACTAGGACATGAGAGAACTTAAGTAGATTTTAACTCAATAAAGGAATTAAATTTCAAGTAAAAACTCTTATCTTCCTCCGTCTCTCCCCCCTTAGATACACAAATAGTAAACAAATATGCACAACTCCACGAGTCTAGATAATTTTATAGACAAGTTTTATCACCACTTAAAAGAGAGAAACCCTATGTGACCCAGATTTTCAGAGAGTGGTTGAGGGGAGAGGCGCCTTAGTGGCTGTAATAGCTAAGCACTTGGCTGCCAGCCAGAAGGTCAGCAGTTCAAACCCACCAGCTGCTCTGTGAAAGATGTGGCAGTGTGCATCTGTAAAGATTACAGCCTCGGAAACCGTATCAGTGCAGTTCTAGGATATATTGTCCTAGGATATATCGTTGCTATCAGTCAGCCCTTACTTACTGGTTACAGGTTGATTTTTTTTTTTAAATTAATAGTTTAATCACTCATTCGGCTACCATTGAGCTGGATGCACCTCATAATGAACCCTGCATGGGATTTCCAAGGCTGTAAATCACATAGGAGATAACCCATTTTTCTCCCAAGGACCCACTGGTGGATTTGAGCCACCGGTGAGGGCTGGTCTCTGGGTTAGCAGCCTCGTTCACTATGCACTACGAAACGCACCTTCACTAGAACAAGGAACACACATACCACACAGAAAGAAAGAACCTGAGCACCAAGTGTGGGGGATGAAAACCAACAGACTTTGCCCTGTGAGTTTGAAGTATAAAGCAGAACACCTGTGCAGGTCGACAGTGTGAATTCACACTGTCAGTGTGACCAAAAACCCCATTCAGAAAGAGTGATACGTAAGGTGGTGTCAGGTTGATTGTATTTGCTTCTTTCATTCACCAGGGACACACATCTCACCTGGAAGGTCCTTCATTCTAGACTTTCTAGTAATCATGAGATGACAATAGAATTTATGCTGCTTTCAAAGGTAATAAATTATAGGGAAGACATGCAAATCGTATTGTTGAGGACCCATTTGTAACTTTTGTATAGAAATGATGCTAGCAGACAAATTTATTTCTCATTCATTATTTTAAAAGTATACATTACACAATTAATTATGATACTTCCTGTGTGTTTCTGATCGATACCTTTTATTAAATTTTGCCTGGAGATCTAGACCCAAGACTACAACCTGATGGCCTCCTGTTCTTTCTAGCCTGGCCATTTCTTGAACGTTTATTCATTCAACAAGTTTATCTGGCTCCTACCACTTGCCAGGCACTTTGCAAGGCTCTGAGTTTTCTTTAGTGA